AAAAAAAAAGGCCAGGTGCAGTGGCTCACACCTGTAATCCCAGCACTTTGGGAGGCCGAGGCGGGTGGATCACGAGGTCAAGAGATTGAGAATATCCTGGCCAACATGGTGAAACCCCGTCTACTGAAATTACAAAAAATTAGCTGGGCGTGGTGGCAAGCGCCTGTAGTCTCAGCTACTCAGGAGGCCGAGGCAGGAGAATTGCTGAACCCGGGAGGCAGAGGGTGCAGTGAGCCGAGATTGGGCCACTGCCCTCCAGCCTGGCACGTGGCGACAAAGCAAGACTCTGTCTCCAAAAAAAAAAAAAAAAAAAAAAAAGACATCTCATAGGAGGCACCATGTGCTTCCTATTGTCATCCATCAAAAAGATCCAATTATTTTTGGTTAACCCACCTATAGTGATGCTAAAATTGATCAACATGTTTAGGTGGTGACAGGCTGATTCTTCCACTGTAAAATTCCCCATCAATCTTTCATCTGTTTGTTTAATCCTGAATTGATGAAGCTGAGGCCTGAATTACTTATTTTATTGAGGTTTCAGTACTGCCTTTACTTTCTTTCTTTAAAGATTCACACACAGTATGACCCCTGGAACTGTGGCTCAGTTAAAAAGAATGAGGTGACTCTATAGATATTGAAATGAAAACATCTCTAAGATAGGAAGGTAAATGGGAAAAGAAGAAACTACGAAGCAGTATGGAAAGCACAACTCATATGTAAACCAGGCAACGTCACATACACACATATGTGGATACGTGGGATTACATAGCAGAACTTTTTTGCTTTATGAGCTTCTGTAAAAAAATGTTCAAGTTTTCCCTTACCAATATTTTAAGCAAAACTACTTTTTATATGAAAGTAAAAAATTACAGGCTCACCAGGGCAGAATTTGCTGCTTCATCTCCAGTACAGACCAGGATGTTGCCATCATTCTCTGGGCTTTGGAAAATGGCATTTTTGGTCAACAGTTTGCAAGTGGGTCCTCCAAAAAATGTATGGACAGGCTGGCAGGAGCAGACCAGATTTCCAGTGTCATCCAGTCTGTAGGACATTTCCAGCAGCACACTTCGTATTGTGGTATGATTTTTATCTATATGGGACAGAGAAATCAGTACTGCACCATGGGTATGCTATAAAAAACATTAACTAAGTACCCAAACCTCAGACACTTACAACCTACTTGGATAGAAAAGCCATAAATGCATTAAACCATCAAAAATAGCTACAAAACAAATAAAAGGACAAGAACAAAATATCACAGCATCAATGAAATTCAGAACTGTAGGCTAGAAATCAAGTTATCTACAATAGCTTTTGCTTAAGAGAAAAACAATTCTAAGAGTGAGTTACCTGTTTTAGTAAGATCAGTCTCCTGACAGACCTCTGCTGGGGGATTTCTCTCTCAAGAATTCTCAGTAAAAGATTTTTCCCTTCCCCCAGTGAGAACCTCATTAGCCCTAGAGACTGCACTTTTTTTTAAAGTGAAAGCATGTTATTACAGAAAGGGAAACAGGTATTTGAAATTCTGCTGGGAGGCAAACAAAAGCCAGAGAACAAAATAGAACCCCCAGGCTTTCTACACCAGTCATAGCAAATCACAGTCTTGGAGATAGCAGAGCTGTGGGACGACAAAGAACCCAAGGGTCTTTAGAGTTAAGTGCTACTGAGATGTTTCTCAGCTCAAACAAAACTTAAAAACATGGGTAGATCTACCCACAACTAGAAGAGGGGCATTTAATGACTAACTCTAATTAAACACCTGCCTGTTATAAATTTGTTTAATACAGTTGTTACCTCAGCATCTGCTTTTAGGGCTGGCATAAATTATTTGAAACCCAATGTACCCTGTCAACTTTGGCCTAGTTACAACATCCCTTCCCTGAGCGAGGTTTGAGATACAGCCCACTTGTCCCTCCCCTCAACCCCCACCCTTCCCCTAGGGTGGCCTATCCTGGATGGCCTAACCCCTTCTTCCCATTGGCCCTCTGAAGCATGCTGCCCTCTTTTCTTTAGGATCTATCAAGTAAGCTGTTTCCATTATTTCATGTGTTTTATGCACTGCCTTCTTTGCATCTCACTTGACCAACACACCTGAACCTAGCTTCTTTCCTATTCAGGGCTCTCCTAGAGAGTCGCTATCTCAAAGGAAATAAACTGGACACAGGTCAGACAAGAGCCACAAGGGTACCTGCCAGTATAAACAAATTCCCTGTGAGAGGGACACCTGGTCATGCGTCAGACAGGCATTAGGCCATCTACCAGGACAAAGGAGAATCCTGTGAAAGACACACTATGAACATTCACAACCAACTCCCTTGAGCCTCGCAGGACCGGGCTAGAGTTTATAGCCACTCTCCTGACAGAGACCTCAAGACCAAATTAGAAAGAAAAAACTTACAACACTGACCATCAGTACAGTTTACTAGGAATTTAGATTCGTGCCACTTAGCCTAGAAAGAAGCTGTGAATGAAGCACAGTCTGCTGTTAGGGGTTCCACCTCTGATTCCGAAGATGGAGATGTTCAGCTGGCTGAGCCCACACAACCACTGTTGTCCATCTCCCCTTATTTACCTTTGTTGGCCCAAATAAGGAGGAATAGACAATATGCTGGGTACTACATGGCTGCTCTAATCTGGGCATTTCTCTCAGGGGAAGTGAAGTGAGGGGCAGGCAGAAGATAAAAAAGTGATCTCAAGGTGGCTCAATGACCTAAAGAGCTGGCCCCCTCATTCCACTACTGTTCTAAGTTGCAGGGCTCCTGAGTGGCTAATTCACTTTCAGAAGGACCTGGCAGAATATGCTTCAGTCCTCACATGTAAGAAGCAGGAAGGCAGGCTCTGTGGGGCAGTTTGGAGACACCATCCTTCCTATAGTAGCAAGAGCTTCAACATATCTTTTTAGCCTGTGAGGGGTACCACAGCCACCCAAAGGATAGGATCAAACTCTTCTTCCCTCTTCTCTACCATTGTGCTCCCAAATAAACCAAAGGAGGCCCCACAAGGACCTTCCACTACTCACCAGGCCTGTAGGTCACAAGACAGTGCCGGGAGCTGTTTTCTGTCTGAAAGTCTGTGCAGCCCCCTGGTTCCAAGGGCAGCACATGAGGCCAATGAGTAAAGTCCATTTTCCGTTCCCAGAAGGAAGCATCCTCCAAGTTTCCAGCCAGCACTCCACCATATGGAAATGCAGCAGAGGCAGCTCTGGGCATGTATGACAGGGAGACCAGTGGACATCTGAAGGGAAAGAAAGGAAACTGTATCTTACATTCCAAAACTTGGATGGCTCTATATCCCTCTACCAGGAAGCCTCAAGCACATTTCTACCTCTACAGAGGTTAAACACCTTTAGTCACTATCCTGTGACATCTGATAAAAATTATCAACCCTCTCGGTAGAAACAAAAGAGTATACATATAATATTCTGCACCTAATTTCAAGGGAGATACCAGATAGTCTAAAAAAAAAAGGAAAAAAATAACTAGGAAATTTAAGGGATAAAAAGATCACAATTTACTAGGAAGCTTGAGTAGTGTGAAGCTTGCAGAAATGGGGTTAGCCACATACAAAGAAAAGTCAGGAAAGAAACAAAGCTTAAATACATAACAAAATAAAGATTCCAAGTTGTAGCTGACAGATCCCACAATTAAAATACAGCTAAAAGCAGCTATATTTAAATTTAGAAACAGGATTGTTTTCGATTTTCTAAATTTCCTTCTGCAAGCGTATGACCAGGACTATACGCCAAGAATTCTCTGAGAAATATCATCCTTTAAAACGTGTTCCTAGGAACTCATTTCTGCTGTGAACTCCTTCATGCCAAAGTTGCCGAAGTGTCTACTTTGCCTGTTTTATTTCATTTTCCCTGTCGCAATAAAGGTAATCAAAGTAAACAAAAATAAAAATGAACAATACATACAAATACTCTTTCCTTGCCATTTTAAAACTTGCTGGGTTTTAGTTTGGTACTTGCTGGGCGTCATAGCTCATGCCTGTAAACCCAGCACTTAGGAAAGCCAATGTGGGAGAATCACTTGAGGTCAGGGGTTTGAGACTAGCCTGGCCAACACGGTGAAACCCTGTCTCTGCTAAAGACACAAAAGTTAGGCATGGTGGCACACACCTGTAGTCCCAAATACTCAGGAGGTAGAGGATGCAGTGAGCCAAGACTATGCCACTGCATTCCAGCCTGGCTTACAGAGTAAGACGCTGTCTTAAGGAAAAAAGGAGAGAAAAAA